ATATATATATATTCTGATATATATTCCACCTTTCCTGCATGAAAGGGTTTTTAAATCCCCTTCACAAGTAGAAATCCTGAAACTCAGTGTTTGGTAATGTGCTCCATTTCACACGACTGGTAAGTGATAAGGCTGGGACAGACCTCTGGTCTGAATTAGTATAAAGCCCATGCCATTCTGTGCCTACCAACCAGAGGCTGACTTTGTATCCCTGGATTCACCATTCATTTCACTATTCCGAAATGTGTCTCAGGTGATAATAAAGAAGGACTTCAGGTACAATCCACGGGATTGGGTTGCATAACCAGATCAGTAGAAATACGAAAATGATTGAGAGGTAAGTTAAAGGGAAAAGATCATAATATTTGATGACAATATGATCAGTGACACATGCAAAATCAGATAACCTCAAATGATCATGAGCTCACATTTTGTCTTTGGGGACAATCCCTTCCTTTGAAAAACTTAAAAGTGCTTCAAACCTAAATACTTAAGAGGTTGAATTTGGTAAAAAGAATAAATGGATCAGCATGTTTTTCATGTGACAGTACATCTGTCCTTGGACCCCTGCCTTGCATTATATCTTCCTCATCTTCTGTAACTGCTGGGTAAGAAACCCATTCTCTGCAAAGTTTCTCATGGGGAAACTGGTCAAAATTTTTTAGGGATGTGACATTTTCTAGAAAATTTTTAATCAAAGGGCAAGAGCTAAGGTGAAGACCTCTATATAAGAGGACTAAAGCGAGCAACATGCCAGAAAGACTTGTTAGCCTGAGATGAACCTCAGTTCAGTACAGAGAAGATTCTCAGTTTCTGACACATATCAACCTTAGGGCATTGAAGGAGGAATGAGGGAAGCATCCCTCTGAGAGCAGTGTGGCTCATGGACTCCCAACCCTGCTGTCATGGCAGCCTACAGAGTCCCAAACAGCATTGACACAATGTGGCTAACTGATTTCTACTTTGGAGATCTCTGGAGGGTGAAGACATTGGTCTGAGGCTGGCTGTCTCAAGTTCATAAGAGGGAGGATTTCCAAGGTGTGCCGAGAAAGGTGAGGACCCTGAGGTACACAAGAACCATCAACTACTTGTAAGTGGGAGCCATACAGATTCCTCCGTTTTATCAGTCCTGAGATATTCAGGCATAAATGTGAGGTGCAGGTACCCTCATACCCTTCTCAGGAGTAACAGAGAGCTGAGGATCTTTGTGCGTGTGTGTGGGCAGGGATGGGGATTGTGGTCCTAGCATAGTAGAAGGAAATATATTAGTCCTGCCTGTAGGTCAGATATAGGATCCTGAGTGAGGACACTTAGTGTGACAATCCATAAGGCTGTCTGTCCCAGCTTACACTCTTGGGAGACTGGTTAGTTGTGACCAGATAAAATTAGCCTCACTTCCTCCTATTTGATCTTAGGGCAGATCTTTTACGAGGACAGGTGTTTAGGTTAAAAAAAAAGGAGGGGGGAGTCCTAGGCTCTATTAGAAGTCAAATCAAGAAAACCAAGTGAGAACTAAGGGGGAATCACCAATCTGAAAAAAGGAGAAAACAGAGTTCAGCCACTTTGACTCAGCCTTTAAATTCCCGGCGTAAGATTTGAAGCTGACACTTATCCATCACTTGTTTTTAATCTTTTTTTCTTACTGCAGTTTTAAGTACACAACAAAATTAAGCAGAAAGTACAGAGTTCCCATATATGTTCTGTCTCCACAGACCCACAGGTTTCCTTGTGTCTACACCCACCGCCAGAGTGCTGTTTGCTGCAATGAATGAAACTACACTGACACTTCACTATCACTCAAAGTTCATTGTCTACATTAGGATTTTCTTAGGTTTTTACATTCTGTGGGTTTTGATTAACATGTAATAACATGTATATACCATTACAGAATCACATAATCCTGTCATTGTCCTAAAAATCCTCTGTAAAATTGAAAATTGATGTATATATGTTACCTGGACAGGCTTAGCTTTTCCAGGAATATGGGAGAAATAACAAATTTGATTTTATATGTACTTTAATTGCCCAAATATTAATTGAGCAGCTGTTCTTTGGAAGACTTCTGACTAGTACTGGAGAACTTAAGTAGATCCAATCTCTGCCAATAGAATTTTAGAGTCTAAGAGCAACTGTGGGAGTTATGGTTATCTGCAATCAAGGTCATAGAGGAGAGAAGAAAGAAGGGATGTTCCAGATGGGGAATCTAGTATAAACTTCCTGAGGCAAAGTCATTTGCAACTGTGGGCAACTAAATCCTTAAATGCTATGTAGTTTTAAGTTAGCTGCATTGTGGCTAGTGAGTCAAGGTGAGGGCTGAGCAGGGGCCACACATTGAGATGGTGGGTCTCAGAGTTAAGAAATCAAGCTCAGAATGAAAAATTTCCCCTAACACTTACTTTGGAATTGTGGCCAAACTAGAGGGGATTTCCAACTAGGGCAGAGATGTAAAGTGTCCTGTGCTCTTGTCCCAGTGCAAGTAAGCACAGTGGACCAATTAGGTATTTAATGCGCAGTGTCTCTAGAGTTTCTGGAAAATAAGAGTGATACTCTTTTGGGTTTGTAAACTGAGAAGCCACTGGGCCAGTACTCTTTTTATTAAAATATAAAAAATAAATGAAAAGGGCCGGCACTGTGGCATAGCGGGTAACACTGCCACCTGCAGTGCCGGCATCCCATATGGGCGCTGGTTCGAGTCCTGGCTCCTCCACTTCTGATTGAGCTCCCTGCTATGGCCTGGGAAAGCAGTAGAAGATGGCCCAAGTCCTTGGGCCCCTGCACTCGTGTAGGAGACCAGGAAGAAGCTCCAGGCTCCTGGCTTCGGATTGGCCCAGCCCCAGTCATTGTGGCCATTTGGGGAGTGAATCAGCGGATGGAAGACCTCTTTCTCTGCCTCTGCCTCTCTGCAACTCTATCTTTCAAAGAAATAAATAAATCTTTTAAAAAGAAAAGCCAGTATTATTTGAGAGGTGCAGAGAGACAGATATAGAGAGATTGATCTTCCATGCATTGATCACTCTCCAAACCAGGGCTAGGGCAGACTGAAACCAGAAGACTGGAACTCAAAACAGGTCTCCTACATGGGTGGCAGGGAGCCCAAGTACTTGAGCAATCGCCTGTTGCTTCCTAGAGTGTACATTAGCAGGAAGCTGGACCAGAAGCAGAGCCAGGACTTGAACCAGGAACCCTAATATGGTATGTGGGCATTCTGAATGGCAACTTATGTGCTGCACCAAATGTCTACCCTAGACTGGTACTCTGCCTTGGGTGATGTTATTATTCTTAAAGCTCTGGATGAGCCCTGTGTTTTAGAATGGTTGTCTCCACAGTTTTTATTCATAAGGGTCCTCATCCTAGATTAAAGGCTTCTGGGAAAACTTTACATCTCTGAAAAAAACTTAACCATTTACTCTGCAAACCTTACAAAGAAGGTCTCCCTGTCTGACAAGTGATGTGATGTTGGGAAACTATATCACAAGGCCAGGAGCCCAGGATAGATGTTGTGCTGTCAGAAGGAAAAACACACTGATCTATTCCTTCTCTTTGCCAACCAAAGGATAGTCCTAAAAGATTTTCTACAGAAAAGGGTGTAGTCAGATGATTTTTGTGATTCCGGTCTTTTGAGGCTACCGGATTTTCACATGTACATGATTATATTGTCACTATTATCTCTGTCCTCTCAATTACTTTGGTATTCTTGTTGCTCTGATTATGTATTCCAATCCAGAAGACATGTCACAGAATACTTATTTGAGGGAAGTAAAATAAAATGAATAAAGCAGCTCACAGTCAGCCTTGGTCTTGGAAGAGTGGAAAATCATGGGGTCTTGAGTGATTCACATCAGAAGTCTTGTCCCAGCCCTGTTACTTTCTAATTATGTGAACTTGGAAACATTACCAAACTCTGTGGGCCTCAGGCTCTGCACATGTCAAGCGGGTTTGATACACTCTTAGTATTCGTGGAATGTGGTTAATGTGTGCAACACATCTGGCACAGTACATGGAGTGCACTGAGACTCATAAACAATGTCTGTTATTGCTATGAGTATTTTGACCAGAGAAGATACCATTTACCCTATCAAATTCTTTTTTTAATCCAGCAAGTTGCATACAACACTTCAGGAAATGGAACAGCAAATCAGTTCCAAGTGTAACTAACAAACTCTAATTTTCCCTATTAAGTAATATTTGGGGGTGAGTGTTGTACAGTGGGTTAAACCACCACTTGGAATGCCTGCATCCCATGTTGGAGTGCAGGGTCAGTGCAGAAAGGCTTCCCAGGCTCTGATAGACATAAATATGAGGCCCATGAATTAGGGAGGGGGCATATAATGTCCTATCCTTGTCTATCAATCACTTCTAGTCCCAAACAGATTATGATCACATGATGATTCCCCTGATCTCTACCTTGGAATTCTCAGGAAGGCAAGACCTTGATGTGAGAGGAGCAGGTTCAGATAAAGAGGGTGGAATTACAGGGCTGCTTACTTGTCAACATGATAGCACGAATGTAGAATAAAGGGTAACACCCACACCAAACAGGAGGCCCCACATAGTCCTTTTTGCTGTGAGCCCAAGAATACGCTAGAGAGAAGTGTCGGATTTCTGTTGGAAGAGTCACAGGGAGGTGAAGGCCTCAGTCAGATGGGGGCTACCTCAGTTTTGCACAGCGAGGAGACATAGGTCGTGACAAGAATCAGTGTGAGGACTCCTGTGTTTTATAAGGGACCTCCAAAGTCAGACGGGATCGCATAGAACCTATCCTTCGTTTTGAGGCACCAGACAGTCACCAGGCTAAGGGACCCTTCATTTCTGCCTGGAAGGTCTCAGGGAAGGGGAGTACCGGGGTCTGATGTGTTCTGACCCCAGTTATGGAGAGAGAGTTGGGTTGAACCAGAGGCAAGGGGAGGATCCTGAGGGCTGCCAAGAGACCCTCTTGCGGACAACAGGGAGGCTCCTAGAGCCCCGCCCCTGCTCTCAGGCTGCAAGGCTCAGGCCCCGGATTTCACTGCTCAGAAGAGGGCCTTGTGTGGAGCCTGGCAGACTCAGATCGGTAGAAGGCGGAGTCACAGGCTCCACAAGACGTCAAGGTGAATACCTAGGGACCACCAATTTCGGAAGACTGGAGTTCCCTAGTACCCGACCCTAGCGACCAGTCCGGAAGTCCCAGGCAGCCGAAGACGGATGTGGGTTAGCCTCACTTCCGCTTGGAAGGCAGAAGACGAGGACTGTCGTGGGTGAGGCTTGGTATCAGACTGGTGGAGAGTGAATACTGAGGACTCGCCCGGAGCCACGGTGAGGACCCTGATGGGTGCTGAAGGAACTATCCCACACCCATAACAAAGCGGGTCTCATAAAGTCCCTCCGCGGGTCATCCCTGGGAGTTCTTAGGCCAAAGCTATGACTGAGGGGCTTGTCGTTTCCGCTTGGAGAGTCCCAGGAGGGGAAGGCTTCATGTCTCGCCTGGCAGGCTTGAGTCAGTAGAGAGAAGGGTCTCAGGACCCACTAGATACAAAAGTGAGCCCCTAGGAACCACTGACTCCAGAAGACTCGGGCACCCTATCGCCTCGCCCCCTGCTGCCAGCCTTAAGAGACCCCTGGCAGCCATAACTGGGCGTGGCTCACCGTCACTTCAGCTTGGAAGACGGAAGTGAAGGACTGGCGTGTGAGAGGTCTGGCATCTGGGGGTTGAGAGTGAATTCTGAGGCAGATCTGGAGTCCCAGTGAGGAACCTGAATATGCGCTTATGGGATTTTTCCCACAACCATAACAAAGCGGGGTGGGGGGCCGCTTCTGCGGCAGGCGTGTGACGCAGTGAGTAACGCTGTTTGTGACGCCTAAAGCCGGCGTCCCATAGGATCTCTGGTTCAAGTCTCGGCTGCTCGCTGCTCCACTTCTGCTCCAGTGCCCTTATAATGTGCCTGGAAAAGCTGCAGAAGATGGCCCAAGGACTTGGACCCCTGCCACCCACATGGGGGAGAGCTGGATGAAGCTTCAAGCTTCTTGCTTTGGCCTGGCTCAGCCCTGGTCCCTGCGGCCATTTGGGGAATGAACCAAAATATGGAAGTTGGATCTCTCGCAGGTGCACACACACACACACATTCTCACTTTCTCTCTGACTCCTCTGTCTGTAAATCTGCCTTTCAAATAAATAAGTAAATCCTTATAAAGGAGGGAAGGCTCACAAAGTCCCTCCACTGTAGTCATCCTTGGGAGTTCTCAGGCCAAAGCTAGGATTGACGAGCCTGTCATTTCCTCTTGGAGGGCCTCAGGAGGGGGGTGCTTTATAGTCTGATGGGCTGGGGTCAGTAGAGAGAGGGGTCTCAGGCTCCACTAGATGTCAAAGTGAGCACCAGCTACAAAAGACTGGGGTCCCTTATCGCCTAGACCCTGCTGCCAGCCTTCAGAGATGCTGGACAGCCATGGCCTGGCTTTTGCTTGGAAGCTTATGGCCTTCATGTGAGAGGACTGGCATAAGGTCCTCAGAGAGTGAATTCTGAGGACTTCTCTGGAGTCAAGGACATGTCCCTGAATGTGTGTCGATGGGACTATCCCATACCCATAACAGAAGAGGCATCACAAAGTCCCACCCCTGTGGTCATCTCTGGGAGTTCTGACTGAGGAGTCTGGCATTTCCACTTGGAGGGTCTCAGGAGGGGAGGACCATCATTTCAAGGAAAAAAACCCTATTAACAGAGGGAGGAGTCTTTACCCTAAAAGGAGTAAAGGTTAATGAACAGACCTTTCCTCTAAATAGGCAGCCACATGGGGCAGTGCTACTCTTTCAGATCTGGGAGACCCCAGACAGAGTAGCCAGATTTCAAGCACTCTGACTTAACCTGTAGTTACTCAGGAAGAAGAGGGCTTTAGCCTGAGATTTGTGGGCTCAGGTCAGCAGAGGAAGGGGTCCTAAAACCTCCAAGGAAGTGGAGGAATTACGGACTCCAGAACAGTGTAGTTTAGGAGTCCACCCCAGATGCAGCTTACTGTTAACTTGGGTTCAAGGAGTATGAGGACATTTGTCGATCTCTGGGAAACAGAGGATAGAGTCCCCAAAAGGGTCCAGAGTCAAGATAAATAAAGAGTCTGAATGAGGAAATGGAGGTTACTCACTACACAATAAAGAGAGCTGCACCTGATACCACCCCTGGGAGACCCACATCAGTGCTAGCAGGCTCAGGTGCCCCCTGACTTCTGCCTTCATGGTCTTCGGCAGATGAGGGCCTTGGTTTAAGGGATATCTGCCCTAAGTCCAGCAGAGAGAAAAGTCCCTCCTAGCCATGACAGATGTCAGAGTACAAATCCTATGTGAGGATTTGTTCCAGAACAAGGGAAACACACAAGGTCTTTCTTCTGTGTGTTCAGCCCTGAGATGCCAAGGTTAGAGTTCTCAGGCTAAGGTGTGCCCCCTCACTTCCTCCAAGGTTTTCTCAGGGACACAAGGACTTTGGTTTAATGGGAGAGCCCACATTCAGCATATGGTGGAGGCCCAGTTACCAACAGGAGTCAAGGTAGTGATATTGAGTATGAAGGGGCTCCTCACAGAAAGTAGTGACACATCTTATCCTACCCTGCGACCTGGAAGGTCTGGGCATGGTATTCTTACTAGTCTCATTCATTTATTCCTACAGAGTCTAAGACAGCTGAGGAACGTCATCAAGGGGGCAACCTCAGGAGGATTCCCAGGTGGTTCTAGGAGTCAAGGAGAGGACCCTGAGAACTTAGGAAACCACCCATGCTATAACTGTGAGGGTAACACAGAATCCCTTCCTGATTGTCAACCTTGGGAGATCACAGGCACCTGTGGCTAGATGAGAAAATTTCACTTCTTCTTAAGGACTTGTAGGGAGTTAGGGACCTTAGTGTGAGTGAACAGGCATTATCTAGATCAAGACAGGGAGGACACTGAGGGAAAATTGAAATGAACATATACCCATTGGTGTCCACCAAGTCCTATTTCCTTTTAGCCCTGGGAAACTCCAGGCAGAGGTAGCCAGTTGTGTCACCCTCTCATGCCCAGCCCTGGGGTCTCAAAGATGTGAGGGCCTTGGTTTGTGTCGCTCCCCCTCTTCATGGAGGAACGACACTAAACCCTGCCTAGGCTTCATATCCGAGTCACGGCACCATTATGTCGCTCCCCGTCTTCGTGGAGGAATGACACAGGACCCTGCGCTGTTCTTTAGTCTGCTCGGCCCTCCCTGGGTTTGCTGCTGGTTCTTCCCGGGTTGGCTACCGACCCTTCCACCTCCGTGGAAGGGCGGTTCCCCCTGCCACCTTCCCCACTTCCGCAGGGGAGTGGCACACCACTGGCCGGCTCTCTCGGGGGCTGCTCAGGTGTTCCCTCAGATGTTCCTGGTGCATGTTGTCTCTCTCCTCCTTTATAGTCCTCTTCCACCAATCCCAACTCTGCTACCCACATGCCGAGTACGCTGCTCTCCTCCAATCAGGAGCAGGTCCTGCAGCTTGTTGGTTGAACTGGAGGCAGCTGTGTAGAAGCTGTTTCCTCCTCTCCCAGCGCCATATTGTGGGAGAGCAGATGCATAGAATAAGTCTTAATTCCAGTAACTTAGTCTAGTCCGAGTTGCTCCCAGTTGCTCCCCACAGATCCCCCTTTCTTTTTATTTTTGGCGTTGATACGTGCCTGTCTTCGGTGCCCCGTGGCGCACACTCTGCTCTGCTTGCTAGAGTTGCCCACAGGTGCTTACAAGCCCTACCAATCAGGCAAACCGAATCCAGGTCCTCTCTCCGCCATGTTGTGAGGAGGTTTTTAGGTGCTGATGCATGCCTGTGTTCGGTGCCCTGCAGCGCATGCTCTGCTCTGCTAGAACTGCCTGCAGGTGCTTACAAGCCCTAGCAATCAGGCAAACTGAATCCAAGCCCTCTCATTGCCGTCTTGTGGGGAGACTTATTGATGTTAATTCGTGCCTGTCTTCGGTGACCTGCAGCGCATAAGCTGCTAGCCGCCCGCAGGTGCTTATCGTCTTACTAATCAGGCAGACCGAATCCAAGCTCTCTCATTGCCGTGTTGTGGGGAGGCCTTATTTTTCTCTATTTCTCTATCTCCGGGCATTCCTATTTCTCCTATTTTACTTCTATCTGCCAGCATTCCTATTTCTCTCATTTTACTTCTAAACTTCTGTTTCTCTTATCTCCGCGGCTTCCCAGCGCCCGCCCTGCGGCGGCTTCCTGGCTCTGCGCGGCTTACCAGCTTCTATTCGCGCCCCGTGCGCTCTCCCTGTTCATGCCCCGCACACTCTCTCTGCGCGCGGCAGCTTCCGCGAATCACACAGCCTAGCTCAGGTTTCCACCACCGGTATTCAGTCTAAGTTCCCCGGGGCTAACCTGGCGAATTCAACCTAGCTCACGTCTGCGCCTTTCGGTTTGGCTTCCCGTCTTTTGCTCCCCAGGCTAATCTGACGGATTCCAACCTGGCTTACGCGTCCGCCTCTAGTTTTAGCTTTTCGCCTTTTGCTCCCCGGGCTGACTTGAAGAATCCCAAGCTGGCTTACGTCTCTGCCTCAGCCTGCCCCCGCGGCTTCAATTTCCCTAACATTTTTCTCTACCCGGTATGTTTCCTAACTTTTCTTCCAACAATATTCCCCTCTCATTTCTCCTGGCCTCTCCCCACAGTCCGTATCCAAGTCTAAGTTTCTTCTAGGTTTCACTTTCGCTTTCAACCTTAGAGATTTCTTCCAGCTTCCCCCCGTAGTCCGTATCCGAGTCTATGCCTAGGCTTTTGATAGCTTCTTCCGGCACCTTTTCCGTCCAGCTTTTCCCTAGGCTCTTTGCTAGTCTCTCTCTCCGGTATTTTCCCTCTTCTTCCCGTTTCTTCCCTCCTAGGTTTCCTATCCGAGTCACGGCACCATTATGTCGCTCCCCCTCTTCATGGAGGAACGACACTAAACCCTGCCTAGGCTTCATATCCGAGTCACGGCACCATTATGTCGCTCCCCGTCTTCGTGGAGGAACGACACAGGACCCTGCGCTGTTCTTTAGTCTGCTCGGCCCTCCCCGGGTTTGCTGCTGGTTCTTCCCGGGTTGGCTACCGACCCTTCCACCTCCGTGGAAGGGCGGTTCCCCCTGCCACCTTCCCCACTTCCGCAGGGGAGCGGCACACCACCGGCCGGCTCTCTCGGGGGCTGCTCAGGTGTTCCCTCAGATGTTCCTGGTGCATGTTGTCTCTCTCCTCCTTTATAGTCCTCTTCCACCAATCCCAACTCTGCTACCCTCACGCCGAGTACGCTGCTCTCCTCCAATCAGGAGCAGGTCCTGCAGCTTGTTGGTTGAACTGGAGGCAGCTGTGTAGAAGCTGTTTCCTCCTCTCCCAGCGCCATATTGTGGGAGAGCAGATGCATAGAATAAGTCTTAATTCCAGTAACTTAGTCTAGTCCGAGTTGCTCCCAGTTGCTCCCCACAGTTTGAGACTAGAAGACTAAGGTAGACTGAGGAAGAAGCTGAGACCTTGCCTTAGTAAAGCACTGAAGAGACCAACAAGTGCAGAACAGTGGCATCCTATAAAGGGCAGAGGTGACTGGATGTGACTCAGGCTTTCTTCATCTTTGGGCTATCAGCTTGAGGAAAGTGAGAATCTTATTCTGATACAACAGCCCTCAAGTCAGTAGAGGGAGGATTTCTGGGTTGTGCTAGGACTCACAGAAAGAATCCTGGGGAATTGGGGGAATTCTCACCCCATTTCATCATGAGTCCCAGAGAGTTGCTGTGTGTCAGCCATGGGAGGCCCCAGGCATAGAAGTGAACTAGAAATGTCCCTCTTCAGTAATAACCACGAACTGAGGGTCTTAGTCTGATGAGTCAGCAAGGGGAAAAATTTAAGCCCTCCCAGGAGTCAAACTAAAAGACCTTGAGTGGGGTCACACATAGGGCCTCAACCTGCCAGCCACACTTTCAGTCTCTGGAGTATATGGGCGATGTGGCCAGTTACAGCTGTTATTACTTTATCCATCAGGTGGAGTGCGGGCCTTACTATGAGATGTTCTCAAATCTAGAAGTGGGGTTGGGGAGGCCTTAGGCCCTCCTAGAGGTCAGAGTACAGACCATGAGTGAAGACTGAAGGTACTGCTCCCCCAAACCTCCAGGTCCCTACCCAGATAGAATAACAAAGAGACTAGTCATATACCTCCACTCAGCCCCTGAAGGCCCAAAGCAGAGATGTGAAGCTACGATTCTCTCTCATTTCTTTGTATCAGGTCTAAGGGAAGTGTGAACCTTGGCCTGAAGATGTAGCAACTGTCAGCAGAAGTGTGAGGGGCAGAGTCTTAAGTGTAAAGACAATATGAGGACTTTGCAGAGGCTTGAAGGCCAAGGAGCACAGGACAGAGAGGGTCCCACCTGCAGAAGTAGTTAGCAGAGGCAAGCTTCATTTCCTTCCCATGGGTTCCAGGGAGTTTTGAGCTGTCAGCTTCACAGCAGCACTGGAAACAATAGACAGGATAAGCCTGTGTATGAACTGAAAGGACCCAGTCGTACTGTCAGCCCCAGCCACTACTGGCAGGCTGTAGCCCAAAACATACTAAAACTTCCCCCACTGGGTTTTCAGGGGCCAGGCTGACCCAGAACAAGAGGCCAATGGTCCTAGAGCCATGCTGTCAAGAAAGCCTGCAGAGGCGGTTTGCTAAATGCCAAAGCGGTCTCTCCCTGCTGAAAGTCCCTACAGACTCTGGTCCTCCCTCCCCCAGGTGTCTGCATCACCTGCTTTCCTGCTCATACGTCTGCCTGCTGTCCCTGACCACAGCCATCATGCCTCGGGGCCAGAAGAGCAAGCTCCGTGCCCGTGAGAGACGCCGCCAGGCCCGAAGTGGAACCCAGGAGCCCAAGGGCGCTCAGGCCACCGCAGCAGAGGAAGCAGAGTCATCTTCCTCGTCCTCTTCTGTTGTGGGGGGTACTCCGCCAAGTTCCCCTGCTTCTGGCTTCCCCCAGGAGTCTCAGAGGGCCCCACCCGCCACTGTTGCTGGGGCAGGTGTTTCCTTCAAAAGATCTGATAAAGGTGCCAAGAGCCAAGGTGAGGAAAGAGAAAATCCTCTCCGGGCCTCAGCCTCCAGTGAGGGCTCAGGTAAAGATCCCATAAATAGGAAGGCAGGCATTTTGATGCAGTTCCTCCTGGAGAAGTATAGAAAGAAGGAGCCCATTATGAAGGCAGAAATGCTCAAGGTGGTCAACAGAAGGTACCAGGAGCACTTCCCGGAGATCCTTAGGAAAGCCTCTGAGCGCCTGGAGTTGGTCTTTGGCCTTGATCTGAAGGAAGTCAACCCCAGCAATAATTCCTATGCCATTGTCAGTAAGTTAGAGCTCAACGATGATGGGAGCCAGAGCACTTGCTGGGGCTTCCCCAGGAACGGGCTTCTGATGCCCCTCCTGGCTGTGATTTTCTTAAATAACAACTGCGCCCCAGAGGAGAAGATCTGGGAATTCCTGAATATTTTGGGGGTGTATGATGGGAGGAAGCACTTGATCTTTGGAGAGCCCCGAAAGCTCATCACCCAAAATCTGGTGCAGGAAGAATACCTGGAGTACCAGCAGGTGCCCAACAGTGATCCCCCTTGCTACCAATTTCTGTGGGGCCCTAGAGCTTATATTGAAACCAGCAAGATGAAAGTTCTGGAGTTTTTGGCCAAGGTCAATGATACCGTCCCTACTGCCTTCCCACTCCATTATGAGGAGGCTTTGAGAGATGAAGTGAGAGGCCAAGCTAGAGCTGCAGCCAGGTCTGGCAATATGGCCACAGCCAGTGGAAGTTCTAGGGCTACCCCCAGCTCCTCTGGCCGCCACCTGTGAGGTCTGAGGTAGATTCTTCACTTTGTTTGGGGGGAAGGCTGCCCACCTTCTTAAGTATTGGGAGGCTGAAATGGGGCTAGAGATATCATAATAAGATTTTTGTGTTCCTGTTATACATTAGTACCTTTCAAATGTTCTTTTAATATAATCCTTATGTAGTTTCAGAATGTGCATTTATGAGTGACATGTAACAAAATTTTTGCTGTATGAGTCTTCATAGTAATGATTTTGGTATTCTGTAATACATTTTCAAAATCCTTCAGTCTTTTTTCAATTTGAGAGAAAGAAAACATGGCTTTGGAATGGGGGTTTTCTTGGAAATGTATGAAAGAACCTTACAAAATGTAGTTGAGGTGTTAAAATAAAGCAAAGCAAAACACAGTCAACTCTTAGTTTGTCTTATTAGCTTTTATCTTTCTTCTTGCTAAATCCAAAGATATTTACCTGGTTGCTATTAACCAACTCGAGAATGCAGATAAAAGTAAACGGTAGTAAATTACATTCCTTCCTTAGTGACTTCCTTCCATCATTAATTGAATATCTGCTCTTTGGAAGGTTCTGTGTTCACAGTGATGATATATGATAACAAAACAACTTTCCCCTGCCTGTAGACTTTTAGAGACTAAAATCAGTTATTGCATAATGAAGATGGTGTGATGTGTGCCAACATGTACAAATAAAAAAACAAGTGGCAGAGAAGAGGTTCAGATGTGAGCAGTCAAGTGTAAATTCCCTGAGCCAAAGCACTTTGTGGTTTGGAACATAGCTGGTTCCTCTGTGGGAGGTCACTTTATATTTGCTGCATGGTGGGCTGGATGAGGCTGTGATAATCGCAAGCAGGTGCCAGCCTTCAGATGCTGAGCTGAATAGTTGAGAGACTAAACTTGGAATGGGAAAGTTTCTGCAACCGTTACATTGGAATTGCTGGTAAAATAGAGGGAATCTTGGGGTGGGTGTTTGGCACAGTGGTTAAGATGCTGTGTGGGAAACCTGCAGTCCATATCAGAGTGCCTGAGTCTGAGTCCTGGCTCTGCTACTGATTGTAGCTTCCTGCCATTGAAGATTCTGTGTGGCAGCTGGTGATGGCTCAAGTGCTTGGGTATCTGCCACCCACGTGGGAGACCCAAACTGAGTTACTGGCTCCTGGCTTCAGCCTGGCCCAACTGTAGCTATGAGGGTATTTATTGAGTGAACCAGGGATGGAGGAATCTCTCCTGCACACACAATCTCCTTTTTATATAAGTAAAAAATTTTAAAGATTAATTTAAAATGCAGAGTTACACAGAGAAGGAGGGACACAGAGATCTTCCATCCACTGGTTCACTCCCCAAATGACTTCAGTGACCAGGGCTGGGCCAGGCAGAAGCCAGGAGCTTCTTCCAGTTCTCCCATGTGGGTGCAGAGGCCCAAAGACTTGGGCCATTTTTCACTGTTTTCCCAAGCGCATTAGCAGGGGGCTATATTGGAAATGGAGCAACCTGGACTCAGCATCAGTGGGATGCCAGCACTGCAGGCTGTGGCTTTAATCCACTGACCCACAACACAGATCTCATAAATAAAAATTTAAAAACAGAGAGAGAGGGATAGGAATGGAAGCAGCACAGTACTAGCAGGACACTGCACAAATCCGATGTTTTATACATGTTGTATGCAGGGAGTTTCTGACAAATAAGAGTGATACTCCTTTGAGGTGAGATACCAAGAAGCCACGGGGCTGGCATTCTTTGTGCTGAGCTGGGGGAGCCAGAGCCTATTCTGTTAACTGGTTTATCTTGCATGCAATTTGGCTGAACTCCAAGGTAAGTTTAGATTTAATTGGTGGTGAAATAAATGAAAATAGGGTTTTGCGGGGAGGAGGCAAAGGAATTGTTGGTTCTTAATGTAAACCCATAAGAGTGGAATTCTGGTGAAATCGTTATCCTCATATTAAATAACATTTTCTAGTCGGGGGAAATTTACTTAGGGTTAGCAACATTTTGGCTGATTTGGCTTTCTTTGTCCTAGAGTACTATATGTTCTCTAACATCTCCTGGATAAACCGAAACTTCCCGGAGATGAGAGTAGTCTCTTCTGGTGTGAATATACTCACACCTTTAACCACCATGCAATAAAGATCCAATATCTGCCAGCTACTTTGCCAGGTGCTTTACGTATATCACATATGTTCCAACAATCCTACAAAAGGGAACTTATCAAACTCACCTGGCAGATGAAGAACTCACTATATTCACAAAGTTTGCATGGTTGGCAAGTGACAGAGCTGAGACTAGACCCTTGGACTGAATTTCACTGTTCTACTCCTCCCTAACCTGAGGCCAACCTTCTCTCTCTTAATTCTCCTCTTCTCTCCACTCCACGATATCTCTGAGGGATTGAAAAGAAAGATTCCATACTCAAGTATTTAAAACAGGCCTAAAGAAGGAAGACACACTAGAGAATCGAGCACAAGCTGGAACTTTCTGAGGGCCTTGTGTGTCTGAAGTGCTCCTGTCCCTAGCCCTAGGGTTCCAGCAGAGCTGATGCTGCACACACTTCTCCAGTCCCAGTCCCAGTCCCAGCAATTTCTTGCTTTTCAGCACCCTTCCCCCTCGGTCTTCACCACTGTGCCCTGGTCTGGAATCTGTACCATGCCCAGAAGAGCCAACAGCCCAGACTTACCTGCTTTCACCCCGCCATAGAGGATCCCAGCTTCCCGGATTGCCATCCCTCATCTCTGGCCGCAAAAGCCTCTTCCACTAATTGTTTGTGTCAGAAGTGAAGCCTGGAGACCTTTTATCCCTCTGGGTGCCTCCACCCCACTTTCAAAGCATTCTCAGACCTACTAGAGAGGGGAGTTTGATTCAGCACTGAGTCTGCTGCTTCTCAGTTTATAACACCCCAAGGCTAGAGGGGAGGTTTTGGAAACCATCCTGATATTTTAAGTTTTTAATGGGGTTAATTTTGATGGAGTCATTTATTTGGGAGTGGCCACAAAACACATCTGCCAATGAGTCTGTTTACCTACGTGGTTAAAAATCAGTTTCTTGGGGCCGGAGCTGTGGCGCAATGGGTTAAAACCCTGGCCTGAAGTGCTGGCATCCCATATGGGTGCCAGTTCTAGTCCCAGCTTCTCCTTTTCCTATCCAGCTCTCTGCTATGGCCTGGGAAGGCAGTAGAAGATGTCCCAAGTGCTTGGGTCCCTGCACCCATGTGGGAGACCCAAAAGAAGCTCCTGGCTCCTGGCTTCGGATTGGTGCAGCTCTGGCCATGGCAGCCAATTGGGGGTGAATCAGCGGATGGAAGACCTCTCTCTCTCTCTCTCTCTCTCTCTCTCTCTCTGCCTCTCCTCTCTCTGTGTAACTCTGACCTTTAAATAAATAAATAAAATCTTTAAAAAATCAGTTTCTCTCCTAAGTGGTAGATGAGGAAAGACCAAGGAAATCACCGTGTAGGCAAAGTCTACTGAGGCTAAATCCCTTATAATCTTTATTAGAGTCCTTCTCAGAAGTGGAAAATGATTCCTTGGCAGACATGCTGACTTTGAATAAGAAGAAAAAAAAAATAATTTTCCAGCTTTCCATTTACTCTTATGTGTACTTGCCCCAAGGGAAAATGCTATTTTTTCCGCATGCTTAATTGTATCTGTCCAGGTGCTCAGACATGTTAAATCAGGTAGTGACCCTTCTATGTTTCTGGAACAGGTTGTAAATACTTATGCACATGGTGTCTTGCTATCCTTCCTAGACTTCTGGGGAGACTACACTGCCAGTCTACTTGCATTTAGGGAGGGTCATGTGATTAACCCTTGCCTCTGAAATATGCTATGCATCCTTTCAATCTCCAGGCCAAAGTACTGGAGAGCCAGTTGCACATGTCCATGCTTTTCCTTCCATTCAGCAACAAACAAGGAGAACCCATGGTGAAGTGAGGAGCCATATAATGGAAGCAACCTGGGTCCCTGGGTCACCTGATAGCAAACGGCTTCTTCCAACCTACATTGGTGTTTACATGCACAAAAAATAAATTTCTGTTATGTTAAATCATTTAGATTTCAGGATTTTTCCATTGAATCATTTAGTATTTACTTTAAGTAATATACAACTACTATTTCTAGGCCTATTTGCCTGTTTTAGTGGCAAAGCTAATAGTGTAAAAATTTGTAACAAAAATAAATTACAGTCTCTCCCTTTACAACATTCCTCCAAAATAAAGCCTTTTGCAAAGGTAACCATAATGATCTGTGTGTGTCATTTAAAAAAAAAAAGATTTATTTGAAAAGTGGAGGGACAAAGATAAATGGGGACACACACGCACACACACACACACACACACACAGAGAGAGAGAGAATTTTCCACCATCTGTCTTATTCCCAAAATGCCTACAACAACTAGAGCTGGGCCAGGACAAAGCCAGGAGCTTGGAACTCCATCTAGGTCTACAATTTGGTGGCAGGGATCCAAGTACTTAGACCATCATTTACTGCATTCCCAGAGACATTAGCAGGAAGCCTGATTAGAAGTGGAGGTGCCAGCTGGGGCCGGCACTGTGGCGTAGTGGGTAAAGCCATCGCCTGCAGTGCTGGCATCCCATATCGGGGCTGGTTCGAGTCCCGGCTGCTCCACTTCCAATCCATCTCTCTGCTATGGCCTGGGAAAGCAGTAGAAGATGGCCCAAGTGCTTGGGCCCCTGCACTCGTGTGGGAGACCCAGAAGAAGCTCCTGGCTTCTGGCTTCAGATTGGCTCAACTCCAGCTGTTGCAGCCATCTGGGGAGTGAACCAGTGGATGGAAGACACCTCTGTGTTTCTAAAGTATGCATGTATCATTATTAAGCAATATCTTCCTTGTTTCCCTTTTGTTGTTATGATTAATAGCACTGACTAACATCTTTGAATGTGAATTGTTGGATAAATGCGCAAACTGAAGTACATATACTCCTCAACCTGATAAAAACTTGTTCAGCTTCCTTCAGAAAGCCAGTCAGTGGAACCTCTTCCTATTGTGCTGCCCCCTGGTGCTTGACCATAAGCCCCCAATAAACCTTGTCTGTGTTAAGGTTTGGCAGCATGTCAATTTCTACTATGGGAGAGTCAAAGATTCTCAAGTTGGTGACAGAAATTAACTTAAACTCTCACCCAAATTAAGCAAATTTTTGCAGTGAAGTCTTGCATTCCGTAATTTCTCTAGGCATTGATTAAAATTCCAAAAGGTTGACAAAACATTCCTCTTTCCTTTGGGAGGCGAGGATTTGGTCAGATAAAAGGAAATGGTTTCAGACAAGATAACCTTGGTTATTGAGGAGCATCTGGCTGGTTGGGGGGAGAGCAATTTCCAGAGTCCATGAGAGACACCATGTACTAAACCAAGTCCACAGAGTCCAGAGAAACTAACAATCAGGGTTCTGGGTCTACACTGCAGCGTCAGGCAGAGAAGGAAACAGAGAGAGGGCAAGGAATGTAGTGGAGATCCTGGACAACTTACGTGAATAGGTTTGGTAAATCTCTGAAAGGTTGTTACCAGAATGAAGTTATAAGGTGATAGGAGGAGCAGACGACTAGATGAAAGGACCAAAGGCATGCTAGACACCTCACCCACTCTTATATCCCCCTCCAATCTACCGTCAGGCTGAGTTTAGCTAACTCTCCTGTGTCACTCATTGACATTACTGATGGACTGTTAGAGTGCTGTGTGTCTGGGTTACCTGAGAGTTC